GTAGTAATTTATGACCACAAATCCCTCTTCTCCTTCCTCTTAACCCCGGTGCCTTTCATTTTTTCCTCTCCCATGAAGATTTCCACCTGGTTTTACCTGCTGTCAAAAGGCTTCCCTCCCACTGGGGCCTTAACAGACTGGGTGTGTGTGTGGCGGGGTGCTTCTCTGCCACTCCTCCTGGCAGAAAGCAAGATGGAGCTGCAGGGAGAGGCCTGTGGAATCTGGGACCTGCGGCCCCTGCCGGAGAGAAGGACGGGCAGTCTCCTCCCCAGCCCACAACTTTCCTGCGTGGCTGAGTGGCTCTGCAGATCCCTGTAGCCCGCAGCTGTGACTAATAACTGATGTGATTGTAGTAGGAGGCAGAGCCCACTTTTGAAATGGGAAAAGGGGTGCTGTGATCAGTCTCCTAACACTCCTCTGGCTAGTATCACAGTTTTTTTTCTCACTGTGGTTGGGTGACTCAGATTGCTGCTGCCTGTGAGGAACAACTTTGGGAAAAGTTCATATCACTCCCCCACTGAGCTGTGTAAATAGTGTGTGTCAGGGTAGTTGGGAGGCAACTGTGGGCCTGGGTGGGGTTTGGGTTACTTATCTGATTAGAGCACTTTAATGGACTAGAGGCACTTCAGCAGCTGAGTCTTCCTCAATCTTCAGGGACCCCTCAACTGTGTGAGGCAGTTCAAAAGATTGGGAATAAAGAAGATGGGGAGACACTATTGACTGGTTTCTGATCTGCCTTCTGTATAGATTTACTAATAATTTATTCAGTAAGAATACTGTGTGCTTTCAAAACGTCTGGTTCTACATTGTTCTTGTTCTTTATATAACTAACTTTAATCTAAGACTCCAGAGTACATTCTTGTGTAGTGTTGTCTAACATGGCTGCATTCCAGGCCTCCATTTTTCAACAAATAGGAAACAATGTAAAGAGACAAGGTAATAGTGTCCCTCCAAGGAGTGCCTCAGGAAATGAAATCTTAAAACCATATGTTGCACTTGGAACAGAACTAGTGTAGTCTAGGGGTTGATATCTGGTTAGACTATTTTTGACAAAAGTTATTTATGAGCTTCAATGCATTAATAAGAATTGAATGTCTGCTGTATAAGGAACATTGTAATAAATCAGTGGTTCTCAGATTGAGATGTGCATCAGAATCACCAGTGGGGCTTTTTAGAAATAAAGATGTCCAGCTCCCACCCCAGACTTACCAGGGGGTAGGGTAAAGACCTTTGTATTTTTAAGGAGCTCCATAGGTGGTTGAGATACACATCCTCATTTAGGAAACACTATAATGGATACTATGAGACAAATACAAAAGAAATAAGGCCAGTCATAAGCTGAAAAAAATTATCTATAGTTACATGCTTCCTAATATATACAAAAGAAGGGACTTGAGATTGATAGTAGATATGAATTAGAAAGTGGGGATAATTATGGTGACAAGTAGTCATGAATAAAGGTACTTGTAAGTCACTTCCAGGTTATAGCAAGTAGATTGTCTTGATTAGCTCAGGAGGCACATTGGAGAGAAACGAGAGAGGAGTGGGGTGCATGGCATATGTGCAGTTTAACAGAAGACCTTACCCAACAAGATGAACAAAGAGTGGGAGGGAGAGGATGACTAGTATGTGAGGGAGACGATAGATTAATCTGTGTTTTGGAGAGGCCAGAGGACATAACCATTGCTTGGAATTCTTGGTGTCATTCGTGGCCCTTATATGTATACTGCTAAGTGTTGTGATGAATAGTCAAGTTCGCAACTAGATTGGTTTAGGAGAATGGGGCCTCGTTTGATATTTCTTTATGTGCTCCTCAGTTCCTACCCTCAACATTAGCACACAGGATGGCTCCACAAATATTGTTGAAGGAAAGAAGGAACTGTGGGAAGAGAGATGGATTAGGAGACTTTTTAAATTGATTGGTCAGGAAGAAAATGAAGGCCTGAATTTTGGGTGTTATGGGAAAAATGGAGAAAGAATTAGTACTATATTAGAAATATGGTAGAAGAATTAGTAGAACTTGATAATAAAACTCTCAGGAAAAAAACATATGGTGTCACTATAAAATAATGAAACTGATTTTTGAACAGATATTCTGGAATTTATATCATTCAGGTTTCTTTCAGCTACTTTGGGAAGTTATATTCTTATTCCAGTGCTTTTGTTTGGGAATTTCTTACAAATTATTTACATATGTATGTTAAATCAGCCTGGCTTTTATTTTGGTTAAGAAAATTTTACCCGAAGTGGGCATTCCTTAACCTTCCTACTTCCTGGACCATTTTTGAGTCTAAATGACTTTTGGATATTTCCAGAATTAAAATTTACAAGCTGAAGATGAAATTCTCAATTGTTAAACAATCATCATCCACTTGTCAAATAGATATTTATGGAGACCCCTTTTAATGTCAAAACAATAAGTTGATACAAGGCAGACTAAGTATAATGCTGCATTGAAAGTTCAGAGTGGTCCTGTGGGAGTGAAGTACCACGGAAGTTCAGAGAAAGGTGAGATTACTTTTCATCAGAACATGGGAAAGGCCTTGTATAGGATGTAACATTTGAATTGGCCTTAATGTCAGGTGAGAATTGAACATTTAAAAATGTGATAAGAAAGATGTTATAAGTGGAAAGAACTACCTTGAAATAAAAGCACAAAATTATTGAGACTCTGAGGGCTAAGTTTTGACTTAGGGCATCATTAAGGTAACTACTTTTTGTGGGGTTAAGACTCATTTGGATTTGTAATTTATTGTATATTTGTTAAACAAGAGTCGTCTTATCACAGCTGAGTCATCACTTTTATTCCATGCTTAGGTGGGGAGGGGTAGTATGGGATTATTCATTTATATGTACTTTTTTCAATTTAGGATCCTGAACAAGATTATTTTTTAAATAGCTATGTTGAGTTGTAATTCACGTAACATATGATTCACACATTTAAAGTGTATAATTTAGTGTTTTTTTAGTATATTGACAGAGTTGTGCAATATCACACTACAAACTAATTTTAGGACATTTTATCTCCTCAAGAAACCGCATACCTTTTAGCAGTCACTCATTCTCTCCCATCTCCACCTCCCCAGCCCTGGACAACTACCAGTCTACTTTCTGTCACTGTAGATTTGCCTGTTTTGGACATTTCATGTAAATGGAATTATAAAATATGTTGCCTTTTGTGTCTGACTTCTTTCTCTTAGCATAATGTTTTCAAGGTTCATCCACGATATAGTATGTATCAGAACTTCATTCCTTTTTGGTGCTGAATAATATTCCATTGCATTGAATAAGGCCATTTTATTTTTATTTTATTTTATTCATTTATTTTTATTATGGTGACCTTGGTTAACAAAATCCAGTAAGTTTCAGGTGTACAATTCAACAGTAAGGCATATATATATTGCATTGTGTGTTCACTGCTCATAATTAGATTTCTTTCTGTCACCGCTACTTGACCCCTTTTACCCCATCTATTTCCCTCCTTCCTCCAACTCCCTGGTAACCACTAGTCTATAGAACATGTCCATGAGTCTCTGTTTGTTTGCCTTGTTTGTGTGTTGCTTTTAGGTTTATACCCTACACATAAGTGATATCATGTGGTTTTCAACTTTTTCTTTTGGGCTTATTTTGCTTAGCATGATTATCTCAAGGTCCATCCATGTTGTTGCAAATGGCAGTATTTCATCTCTTCTTATGGCTGAATAATATTCCATTGTATATATGTACCACAGCTTCTTTAGCCAGTCATCTATCGTAGGACACATCGGTTGCTTCCATGTCTTGGCCACTGTGAATAATGCTGCTATGAACATCGGCGTGCAAATATCTTTTCAGATATGAGTTTTCAAGTCTTTGGGGTAAATACCCAATAGAGGGATTGCTGGATCACATGGTAGATCAATTCTTAGTTTTTTGAGGAACCTCCATACTGTTTTCCATAGTGGCTGTACCAATTTGCAATCCCACCAGCAGTATATGAGGGTTCCTTTTTCTCCGCATCCTCTCCAACACTTATTATTACTTGTCCTGTTGATTATAGCTACTTTAACAGGTGTGAGATGGTATCTCATTGTGGTTTTTTTTTTTTTAGGGGAGGCAACCCTTGGTTGATCTCACAGATTGCAAGAACCTTGTCAGCTTACAATCCCTTATGTTTTTTTTTTTTTTTCCTTTTTACGCCTACAGTACCTGGTCTTCCTAGGTTGTTTCTCATCCAAGTACTAACCAGGCCCGACCCTGCTTAGCTTCCGAGATCAGACGGGATCGGGCTTGTTCAGGATGGCATTCATTGTGGTTTTGATTTACATTTCCCTAATATCTAGCGATGTTGAGCATCTTTTCATATGTTTCTTGGCCATTTGTATGTCTTCTTGGAAGAAGTGAATAAGACCATTTTAAACACAGATTCTAATGTGATAATAAAACAAGGAGAGGGGCTAGGAGAAGAAAGAGTGGGAAAATAAAAACAGACGTACAAGAAGTTCCAAAGATGGGATTCAGTAAGCAGTGTGAAAAAATCAGATGTCTTAGGCTGCTTGTCTTGTAGCATGGTATATAAAATTTTTTTTTCCATCGACGTGGCCCATAGAAATCTTACAGTCATGCCAGTTATGTTAACAGAGCTTTAGACACTTTGCTTTCTCTGTTACATCTGAGGGCATGTGTTGTAACTACTCCTTGGGTTCATGAAATATTTATTTCGGGAGTTTTTGTGGCTTTGACATTTACGAGCGTCACCTATATATCATACCCTTTTGGGACCAGCTTTGGGACACATGGCAGCATTGTCTTTAAACTGATGGGAAAGACTTCTGCTCTTAAAAAGAGATCAACAATTAATTTTGTCATTTATAATTATCAGTGTTAACATCTGAAAGTACTTTTGCTTTAACTTCTTTTGGTTGATGTTAGATTTATTTCGGTTAAAATAAATAACAACAATGTTTGGGTGATAAACCTGTGGGTGATTTTTTCTTCTTAATACTTTTCTGTATTTTCCAGTTCTTAAAATGAACATATAGTTCCTATATGAAGAAAAAAATCAATTAAATAAATAATAAGACCATTTGTATAATCCTTTATTGTTTATAAAATATTTTCATATATATAATTTCATAACAATCCTTTAAGGTATTGTCCTGATTTTGCAGGTGAAGATAATGTAGATCAGAGAAATTAAGTAACCTGCCCATGGTGGTACAGCTAGTTAGTGATGGAACTTGGTCTCAAAATTTGTTTCTCTTTCTGTGGATCCTCTGCATTTTCACTCCACCATTCTATATCCACTTAGAGGATAGTTATTAAATATCAGTGGAATTGTTCCACCTAGAATCAGAAGCAACAAGAATGCTATTAGTCATAGAGTTTTTATTTGTCCTAGGCCTGGCAAGATTATTTGTTTAAAGCCTGGGTTTGGCATGGCCTATGTGAAGGGCCTATTTGGATTTTAATAGTTCTTGTATATTTGTTTAAAAAGTCATTTTACATATTTATATAATTACTGATTACGTATATATGTATAAAATGCTTATGTTTCGTATGTATTTCAACTGAGAAGTTCATTATTTTAAAAGCCTTCTGACAACTTCTTGGTCTTTTACTGCACACTTAGGAAGGGAGTAGGGTAGGAATAATCCTCATTATCCACAGTCTACAGCTCAGCATAGCATGTATATAATCTCTTGTGACATTCATTGTACTTAGTATTTGTCTTCTTTACTAAGTTGTAGGTTCCTCGGTGGCAGGGACCATGTCTGTTGTATTCACCCCTTTATTTCTAATGTTAGGCTGGTTATGAGTGTGCAATATAACTTACCCTTTTCTTTTTTTTAAACTAAATAAACATATACACTGCATTTATTTTTTAGGTATAAAATCTTGTAATAAGAATTTTTTTGCAATGAATATTTTCCATCCATAGCTTTCAAACATCTGGTACAGCCGAATTTAAACAGTCTCATCAAATTTATAATGAGCTTTGAAACAAGTAGAATATATATTAAGAAGGAGAAATGAATGGCTAACTGCCCATTGTTTGAGATAACAGTGTTCAAGCTATTTTGGGTTGTGGTTCTCTGTTTCAGAGTCATTTCAACTATGCAGGCCACTTACTAAATTCATAACATGAGAATATGTTGCCTCCTGTCAGAAGGTGGCATTAGGATTTTGTATTCTTTTTAAATTGGGAGTATTTTTTTAAAATTTAGCAACTTAGACCAGGTGTCAATATATTTATTTGAAGCCCTGCTGGTTACAGTGTAGTATCATACTATGAGTTATGAATTCCTCATTAAAAGATCTTTATTTCCTTGAACCACATGGCAGGAGACAAAAATATAAGGTTGATTTGCTTTTTTTTGCTTTCTGGCTGATCTGGGCCCACCCTTTCCATTGAACCTTATGTCATGGTCATGACAGTGAGGTATATTTTTCCATTATAAGCCAGCATTAGATCAGTATCAAAAGAAGTAGCAGTCCTTAATGAGCTCATGTCAGAAGTTAGTTGATATCACAGCAAAGTTTCTCTCTAGAATAATGTTCTGTGACATTCATTGTCAGGACTCTTGCTGAGGAAGGGTCATTCTGTCAGTTGATGTTGCGTTCAGGAAGGTCTGCCCTTAAACCTTCCCTATATATAGATAAGACTAGAAGAAGAAAACATAAATTTAAGGCTTTTCATTTTTTTATTTTTATTTTTTTTTATGCCTACAGCATCTGGTCTTCCTAGGTGGTCTCCCATCCAAATACTAACCAGGCCTGACCCTGCTTAGCTTCCGCAATCAGACGAGATCAGGCACATTCAGGGTGGCATGGCTGTAGAAATTTAAGGCTTTTTAAAGCCTTCAGTGCTGTGTAGATAAATATTTCAGAGTGAACTTATTTAAGGAGTAAAGTTCACATCTGTAATAAGACTCTGAAACACCCAGAAAAGTTGATATATTGGTGAAAGGACTTCCTATTGGAGGCTTTCATCTGTCTTTCTTTTCCTTGTACACTAGATCTGCAGAATTCTTGCAATATGTGTTTGTGTGTATTGGGCCACATAGTGAAGTTCAGATAACATAAATTTTGAATCTAGGTGGCTGCTTCTTTGTTTTATCAGCCATTTTAGTACTTGTTCAGTTTCCATTGTTAATGGTTATGGAGAGGAAGGCTGTCTTACCTGTTTCTCCTTAAGTTTACAAAAAAGTTTATTATGGAGAGAAGTTGAAGTTAATATATAAGTAGGGAATTTTTGTTTATTTGTATATTTATCATCATAATTAAAGTGTTTTGTCCTTCATATAACACTAAAAACAATACTGTATTTTATTGAACAGTATACTATTAGTAATCACTTTTTGTCATGCTGAGCCTTCACAGTCTTTCAAAAAGAACAAAATTTAACTTGTTACAAAAGTACTACATTTTCATTGTTGAAATGCAGAAAGCCTGTCTTTAGTCACAATCTCAGTGTTTCTCAATCTTTTTCAGTTTGCTTGAACTGGATTTGTCTTTTACTCTCTTTGTCCATTTTTCTCTACTCTTATTTCTGTTTCCTTGGATATTACTACAAACAACTATATCTTTTTCATCATTAAACCAACCCCTCTAAAAACATCCCCCCCTAACCCTTAATTCACTTTTCTGCTGAAGAATTTCAAGGAAGAGTGAGGAAACCCAGTCTGTTACAACATTCAAGACTTTATCATGTGCTGTTTAGGGAGCCATGCTCTATTGAGCTAACTGCTGTTTCAGTAAGTGTGAAATGAAATAACTTCAAAATAACTTTTGAAGAACTTCTAATCCTGACACACTTATTAAAATATGGGGTCTTTAAGTTGATTAAATATATTTAACTATGCGTATTATGTGCAGACAAAGGAATAGAGTATGATAGAGTAATGGACAAAAGGAGACATATAATTAGACATAGAAGTTGAGGACTCATTTCCTTCTTTCCAGGCCCTTGGCAAAAGCTTTGTAGATTCTGTGTTTTTGCATGCTAGGTCATCAGTTTTGGGATAATTGATTTGATTGTAGCTTTTCTTTCCACACCCTCCCTACGCCCCTCAGATATCTCCCTTTAAGACTTGGTTTCTGAAGGGCAAGAACTGGGTTATATTCTTCTCGATGTTCCCGGTCCTGGGCTTATCCCGGTCCTGGGCTTATTCCAATCTTTTGCTATTGGTATTCCTTCCATATGTGTATAGTGTTTTGATACTTGCATTACCAGCTAGTCATTCTAGGCTATTTCATGACAAAGAGTGGTGATTCTCTTTTTCTGCCCTCAAATGTTACCATATACAAATGCCTAAGTAATCACAAACGGAAAAAAAGATTCATAAATGATATTATTGTGTTGGTTACATATTGAGACTTTTAGATTTCAAAAAATTCTATGTCACTTCTGTTAGAAGTCAAGTTATTCATTAGATTGGTATGAGTGTGGGATATGTGTGTGTATAGAGGATGACAGGTAGTGAATCTTAGAACTAAAAATCTTTTACAAATATCATTAAGTTGCAGAAAATAGTCTTTGGCCCTTAGAGAATTTCCCACTGATAAGATTTCCAGTTTAAGGGGAAAGTGGCTGAATTTCATTGCAGCTGGCCACAATCCAAGTTAAAGTCATTCTTTCTTTTGAAACACACTTAACTTATTCCCACAAGTAAGCTTTCTGTGAAGAAAGAGAAATGGCACATTTGTTCTTAGAGTTAAGAGTTGAAGAATCTCTATTATCTAGCTTCTCTGTATTTCCAGGCTTCTCTCTGTTCCCACCCCCATCTCTGGAGAACTGAACTGGCTCATCTTTAAGATGGATAATATATTTTTATTCATACAATTACAGTAAGTAAGGGTATATATGAGTGGGCTAATAAATCTTATATAGAAAAATGTCTAGGCAAGTAACACTTAAATTCTTATCCTACGTCTCTTCTCTCCAAATAGCAAAATTAGTTATTAGACTCTAGCTATTCACATTGCTAGGTGTTCTGAATTATAGTAGGATACGTAAGAAATGGTCTCTGGCCTCAAGTTGTTAAAGTATAGATGAAATTTATAATAGTATGATTTATCTTATCTCTATCCTCTCCACTAATGAAATTATTGCAGAATTTAAATTAATCATTTTAAAGTGTCCTGTAAATACAGTTTTTGTTCCTTGGAATCATGGAGAAAATGTGAGCAGGTCAGCAGCAGAGTGAGCAGGTCGTGGGCCCCATAGTTAGAAAAGATCTTTGAGCATTGCCCTCAGTGGCCCTCTTCTCGTGGTAGTCCAGGCACAGCGGGTTTTCATTTCTTTCAAAGTACAGTGCTGCTTGTGGGCCTTCACATATGCTGTTCCCTCTGCCTCAGCTACTCTTCTGTACTTCTTTACTTGGGTAATTTCCTCTAATCCTTGACTTCTGTATTAAGTATCAATTTTCTAGGGATACCTTCCCTGACTCTTACCTCCAAAACTGAGGGAGGTCCCTTTGTCATGTGATTTCTGCATTTTTTTTCTTGTTGTGCTTGTCACAGTTGTTTGTAATTATTTGTGTAATTATTACTTGTTTAATATCTTTCTTCTCGCTAGAGCCCCAGGGGCAAATATTGGCTCTGATGTATTTGCCCTTGACTTTTCAGCACCCATCATAGTGCTTGGCACATAGTAAGAATCTTGAGGAATATTTGTTGAATGAACAAATGGGAAGACCATTTGCTGCTTCCCAACCAAAACTGTTTTATGCTTCTTTGGAAAAACATATATCATGCTGTGGGTGAATCTTGGTGAAACTGAACTGCCAATTAGGAGAGTAGCTCTAAATCAGTGCTTAACACAAGGCATTGCCTGTAATAGGACCATCCAGTTCATGTTTCCCGAAAATAAATTCTAGGCATAAAGTCCTGGGGTGCAGATGGGGATAATCCTGCCCAGTAAGGACTATGCAGAGTATGTATATGTAAATAAAAATATAATATAGATTTGGAATCTCTATTAGTTTTGATATTTTTGCAAATAAAATGAATAGCCAATTTTGGCAGAATGCACCTAGTATGAGTTATCGAATACTGAAGTCAGACTTTAGATGTAGATACAAGGCAAATCAGCAGACAAACATGATAAGACTCTTGGGAGGCGGTAGAGTGTTGTGGTTCAGAATAAAGGCTCTAGAGCTAAACTCCTTGGGTTTAAATCCCACCATTGATTGACACCTCTGAGGTATGTAACATTGGGGAAGTTATTTAATCTGTTTCACACTGTCCTCTGTAAAACACAGCTAATCTTGGTTCCCAACTCATAGTGTATTACTGTGAGGATTAATGAGTTCATAAAGATGTATAGAACTATGCCTGACACATAGTTAGGAGCTCAATGAGTGTTAGACATATTAATATATTTTCCCATGATTTCAAGTCGTATTTTAAATGTTAGTCTAATGAAAAGGCAGTGTTGATATTTTAAAAATGTCTAAGCATAACTTCTAACTTTTATTCAACAAGGCAAAATGCCAGTGAAAGCTTTCAGTAGAATTCCATATGTTGTGGAATATACAGTTTTACCAAATGTGGGAAAAATATCACTCACAGTTTAGATGCCTGAGCCTTTTGATTGCCAGTTTCTCATAATTAAAATCGAACATCTAAATTTTTGATTGATAACTCCTTTGTTTGTGAGGGGAGATGAGTATTTTTCTTTCAATTCATAAGCAAGAATTGGGGGTAGGATTTGGGATTTATCCCAAGCTTCATTGTCCTGTTTTCTGAAAAAGAAAAAGAAAAAGAAAAAGAAAAAAAACTGAAGGGGTAGTCAGGCCACTCACTAAAATAGTAAGATGGAATCCACCTTTCAGGTAGAGTTGAGAAGTGTGATGCATTTGTGAAATAGAATTCATCTTTTTCTGGAACAGCCAAATTAATTTAACAAATATTTAATGACTACATACTGTGCCAGATACTGGATGAGCTTAGTATCTCTTGCCTGAAACGAGGGTTAGACTGTCTCTCAGATGTGCTATCAACATAGGAGTAGTAGAGTTAAACATGTAACTCATTTGGAAGGTATACCTATTATTTCTAGTCTTTCAGTGTTTTTCCAGAAATTTTTAACTTGCATATTAAATTTCAGAGTCTTTAACTGGCATCTTTACTGTCTTCCTGGCTAGTCCCCTTATGTGTGGTTGTCTAACATTTTGTTTCTGTCTCGATTTTTTTTTTGCTCCATAAATTAGACACTGTTGTTTTCTTATACAGTTATTCTTTTCCATTTACCCACTTTTACTATTTTCTTTGAGATGTAAGAGAAATGATTAACAGAACTTCCCTTCTTGATAAATTTCCTTTCTTCTTGAAGTCCATCCCTTGCTAGTATCTTTAGTGGGGTCTTTGGGTGGAATACACTTTAAGTTCTTATTTCTCTGAAAAAATATTTTGTCTTATTTTTTGAAAGATGATTTCATTGGATATATAAATCAATCTAGGCTGATAGTAATTTTTTTCAGCACTTTGAAAATATTGTTCTGCATTCAGATCAGCTATCAGTCTAATTGTTATTTTGCTATAGATTATGACTTTTCTCCCTGGGGTTTATAAGACTTTATTTACCTGTCTTGGGGTTTTTTGGGCTCCCTAATTTTGAGGGTTGATTTATCAATCCTGGAACATTTTTAGCTATTATCTTTTTGAATTTTGCCTCTCCCCTTATTTTATTCTTTCCCTTTGGAACTCAAATTAGAAAAATGTTACACTTTCTCGCTCTTTCATGTCTCTTAACAGTTTATATTTTCCATTTGGTAATTTCTCTAGCTCTTCCAGTTTACTTATTTTAATTATGCAAATGAGCTCAGTTTTACATGCAAAGCAGAAGACCTAGAGTCCTTATCAAATCTAAAACATGTCAACAATGATTTTATTGAAGTTGTGTATTAAATAAGTCATGCCCATATCTTTTTGATCTCATGTGGAAGAAAGAAAAATTAAATATGGTGGCTAGTAGCATGGATCCACCTATAGAGATCTTGGAAGAAAAAAGAAAGATCAAGTTGAAGCAGGAGCTCGAAG